TTTCAGGGTACCTGACCAAACCCAGGAAGGAAGACGTACAGATACTAAAACTGAGAGTTTACCAACAAACAGCCCACACAGACCACTCTATGATGAAACTGAAAGGAGACAAGACTCACCCACCTGCTCAGTTTCCAAGCAGCTTTTTGGACCCCTACCCTTGTAATCAAAGATGACTCTCATTACCTAAGGGAAAAATAGCTAAAAACAGAAAAATGCAACTCAAGAAATCTGAGACCATACAGAAAAAGAAAACACTGTAAAATCATCAACACAGCTACAGAAAGACGAGGGAGCACTCCTGAAGCAAGAACAACTTGCTTTATAAAAGACACATTCACAGAATAAAAGAAGAGTTCTTGGATAGCTTGACAGTTTTTGATTTTTGATAGCAGAAGTGGGGGGCATCAATAGAAGGGTTGGAAAGTAAGGTAGAGGAAATCTTCCAGTAGGATGGAAAAATAGCAGGGAAAAAAAAAAAAACCAGTAGGAGGGAAAACAGCAGATAAAGTGAAGAAAACTGGAGAACCAATTCAGAAGATCCAATATCCAAACAGGACTTCAAAAAGACTTCAGAGGTTGGGGGGGCCGTGTCAAAGAAATCTAGAAATAACCCCTGAACTAAAAGATGGGAGTTTCCAGATCTAAAGGGCCAATCAAGGATCAAGACCTCAGGACAAGAGAAGAAAACAAACCCACATCCAGGCTGGTGAGGGTGAAACTTCAGAATGCCAAAGACAAAGGAAAAGCCTAAAGTCTTCTGGGAGAAAGAGCAGGTTACTTAGAGAAAAATCAGAAGAGCTTTGGTTTTCTTAAGAGTAATACTGTAAGCGAGGTCAAGAGACCAATGCCTTCATAATTCTGAAGGAAAAAAAAAATACTTCAAACCTAGAATTCTATTAACCAACCAGGGCAAAATAAAAGTATTTTCAGTCATATTAAATCTCCAAATACCTACCCATCACATTCCCTCCCAAAAAAGGTCTTGAAGGATATGTTCTATCAAAGGAAGGAGAGCCAAAAGAATAAGGTATCCAACAAAGAAGAAAGTGAAGAACGCCGTGAGGACCATGAAGGAGGATCCCAGGATGACAGCTGTGTCCTAGGTGTAGAGGCAATCACTGCAAATTAGAGTAGGTTCAAAAACAGAGAGCCAAGAATAATGTCTGGCTTCTCTCCAAAGTGCACAAACATCATAAAAGTCAATGGAAGCATGTGTTTCATTGATGAGACCCATGAGTGATCATGGTGAACGGGTAAGAATAAATGAGACCGTGAAGAACTAGCTGCCTGATACGTCTCTTTTAACTATCATCTTCGTGAGAGACTTCTGCTTCCACGGACTATAATGCAAAAGAAAAAAACACCTGCCTGAGAAGAGGAATCCTCATATATTCCTACATGTTTGTATCCATATGGAATTTCTTTAGGCCAGAGCTGCCCAACAGAAATAGGATGCCATCCACATACTCAACTGTAAATCTTCTACTAGCCACATTAAAAAACTAAAGTAAAAGTATTAATCAGTTAAATAATTTAATTTATGCCAGTATATCCAAAATATTCTTTCAATATGCAATCAGCGTTAAGAATTAAAATACATTCTATTTTTTGTACGGTTATAAATCGCCTGTGTATTTTATGCTCACGGGCAGCTCCGCTCTGACTGGCTGCATTTCAAGTACTCAATGGCCACATGTGGCTACAGGCCACATTAGACAGAGCAGCTCTAGAAAGATACACAGGAAAGAGGCTCACTAATGGTGGTTCCACTTCTGGAAAGTGGAATGGGGAAGCAGGAGGTAGCTCTAAGGGAGACTTAATTTTCATTATTTACTATTTTGTTACTTTTGAATTTTGCACCATGTGCATGCACTACCTCCTTAAAAAAAAGTATATTCCTTAAAATAAACATATATTAATAAATGTACAAACAAAACATAAATAAAATATGTTTATTAACCTACTTCTAGAAATCTACCTCATGCAAGTATAGAATGATGAATAAACAAAGTTTACTTGTTGCGACACTGTTTTTAATACCACAAGACTGGAAATAACCTAAATGTCCATCAATGGACAACTGGTCAAATATATTACAGGCACTCACACAGAGAATAAACCAAAGTAAAAAGGTACTTATTATGTACTGATGTGGACTAATCTACAAGATGCACTGTTACGTAAAATATACGACCATTTGTACGAAAAGGTACTATATGCACAAAGTTGCTCATATATCCACAGAGCTTCTGGAGCATTACACAAAAACCTAGTAATGCTACTAGCCTTTGGATAGGCAACTGGGTGGGGCAAGGGACAGGCTGGCAAAGAATTTTCACCATATGTCCTTTTGTACCTTTTGAATTTTGACAATTGTGTATTACCTATTTTAAAAGCCCATCATTCTACATGTAGCCAGTATCTGCTTTTTATCCGATCATGCTTGGCCTTCATGGGATACTTGGGTCCATCTACAAAGACTAGTGTTCTTCTAGTTCCTTCATGGAGAGGTTTGAGTCTTATTTTTCCCAGAGGCCACAGATGTTTCAATATTGGAATAGTTCCTACACACACACACACACACACACACACACACACACTCTCTTAACATATAGTTCCCTGCATTCTAGCATTACAACTCCAACCCTAGCTACTAGATTCTTATCTAGTAAATTCCCCCAAAGCCAGTTTTTCCTTAACACAGACTGATTTCCAGGTTTCTGATACCTGGGAACATTTCTCTCTCTTTCCTCTTTTCCCTTCCTCTCCCCCTCCCTCTCTAGATCAACTATATACATAAGAGAAATAAAGTCCTTCATTTTATCCAATATTTGTAGCAGGTGGAATGGGCCTAATCTGGGTCTGTTTCAGCAGGTCTTTGAGATTTTAAGAAACCTAGGTAAAGAGTATAGTCAATAACGGTAAACACTGAAAACAGTATAACTGTATAACACTGCTAAACTTGGCTATTCAGAACTCACTGGTGACTTCTGAAAGGGAGGTAGGAAATGGAATATGAAAAGAGTGGCAAAAAAACATTTCAAGAGGTTCAAGTGTAGAACAAAGGAAGTGATTAAATATAGAAAGCAAATGTAGGTTTCAAATATCTTCAAATTGAAAATACAAAATATTCCCCAAATACCTATACCAATTTTTATTTCAAATGAAAATCAAGTTAGATATTTCAACATAAAACACTTGAAATGTGATGGTACTATCTCAAAGATCACCTAAAGATCCTTCTAGTAGTAGTATAAAATCACTTTAAGATTTTTGGCAATCTATGTTCAAACGAATACCACAAGGGTAGAGAAAAAAGCAAATACTAATGATGTGGATTTTTACAATGGTTTTAGTCAAAGAAGTGAGGATCACAGAAAGCATTAAAAAAAAATAAAGACACTGAAAAACAGATTTCTCAATTCTCACTGTTACTATGCTTTTTTCCAAAGTTGCAAGCTAGTAAGGAAGGACATTGCCATTGGAAACCTAAGGTGGCCCCACAGGATGGAGAACGATGGGTGCCTTTAAACTAAAGCAAAGAGAAAACATTCACATATTCAGTTTTAAGGACTTTCAAAACCCAACGTGACAGCTTGAATTTAACCCTGAAAGTGGGTCATCAGCTCAGTGAAAGCCCACATTACATAGGGACTGCTGTGTAAAGAGACTACCTGTTCTTGGGAGTTCTATTCCTTTCACCTTGAACAAGTTGTATGGAATCTGTACGTCTATAATCAGTTTATAAACGTAAAATTACATGCTGATTTATCATTCCCAGATTTAAAAAAAAGGTGGGGGGCATCCAATTATTAGGAGACCACACAAGGCCCAGGCCCAGACTTAACTCAGCAAGAATATTCAGTACTCAAATTGCCCTTCAAACTCCCAAAGTCTGTCTTGACCTGCTGAAGCAGCCACTCACAGCCGCATCAAGTGGGTACAGTCCTCAGGCTGTGAAAGTGCAGTCAAAGCCAAGTCTGGAGCAGGGCTGTTCCACAGAACTTTCTATTAAATTAAGCTTAACATTTATTTCCTCAGTTACTGTAGTCCCAATTCAAGTGCTAAATGGCCACATGTGGCTAGTGTCTACCCTGTTAGTTTGGGTCTGCAGCCAAGGTTTTTCTTCACAATCTATTATTCTTCAGTGGAGTTCCAAAGGCTTACCCAGGAAGAAGAAAACCAAGGAGGCAGGGCTTCAGCAACTGCCCATTCCCTTTACATTTTGAGATTCTGCAGAATGTTTTATTTTTTGTCGTTGTTTAGATTTTTTTGCGAAAGCCTTCTGGTTGTTGTGTGCATAGGTGTTTGTGTGCTTTCAGTCTGAAAACTACGGGGTTAGTAGAAATCACCAGCGTACAAACCTCAGGCCAAAGTTGGACTCTCCTGATACTTAAAACATTTTATAAATAAAAGTTTAATTGGCCAGTGTACATGAACTACACCCTAACCACCTGTCTAGGAAGTAAAAGGTTGGTCTAAACACAGAAAATTTGCATTCACTGCCATAGATAGAACAGCTCTACTCAACAAAAAAGTTTCCATAGTTCATTCAAATCAAGGGAGAAAGCTCATGGGCCCAGCTCCCATTGTAGCATTTATCAGGAGTTTATTCTGTGAACTTTGCAAATCAGATTCACTGCCTCACATTCTGTTATGAAGGATGGGATTAAGATAGAACATTTCCCTCATATTTACAAAAGCTTAGCCATTATCTCTTTATAGAATTGTTGGAAGAGCTGAAGCAGCATATGAAAATGTACTTTACCTTAAACATGGGCAAATTACAAGATCACAGATTTCCCATGTTATTTCCTCAGATCCAGTCTTCTTTGAATTAAAAGACTCAAGATAATGAACTTGATGGACTTCAATGGCTCCCTGCCCATGATTATTCTTCCTTACTAACTGAATACATTAAGCCTGAAACTATGCCCTCCCCCTAAAAAGTCCCTCCCTCCTGCAGGGACACCAGATTAAAGGAACTACAGGTCTTTAGCAGCAAACTGGACCTGTGGACTGAACAGATAACAACTAAGGTCTACACTCACTTTCCATTGCTTTCGTCTTGAGGCCAAAGTAATTCCAAATTTTGAAACAGTACAGAACCCAGGAGAATTCACTAATTCACTAACCTTTTCATAATAAACACACAAATTTTAATATGATTAAAATCACTGACTTTAGGATTTCTGTTTTCTTGTGAGCACCAACTCAATACAGATCTTAATTACCAGGCACCGGTTCCACCGCTGGCTCAGATGCATTAAGAGGAACCCGTCCACTCTAGAATATAAGACAACTATGTAAATCAGAGAATTACCCTAATGTTTCTGGCTATGTGGCCAAATCAGAGGCAGTGTCTAAACTCAACTAGCTTGGCAAAATTATATTCTCCTCACATGAAATTACTGAAATTGAAGCTAAGAGCTATCCTTGATATATGTCTATCTAGAATCAGCACCGAAATATGTCCTAATTGAATATATTACAATTTTAACAGTCTGGAATAATGATCAAAATTGATCAGAAACAAGCAATAAGCCTCAAACTGCATTTTTAAATGAGTGAGACTGAATTACTTTTGTACTACTCGTGAAAAAAAAAAACCAACTTTAAAAAATAGCAAAGGCTATGTATTTAACAAAGTAGATGATTTAGAAAGTAACTCAGAGGTAGGAGGGAGAATAATCCAAAAAAAAAAATTAAGGCTAATACTGGATCAAAGTCACACAAGAGGCTTCAAGAAGCCCTCAGCGGACAGACTAGCCAACCATCCACACGTGTTCTGTCCTTGAAATCTCTAGCACACTCTGTCTTAAAGCCAGAGTCAAACATTTTACATGACACCCCTGCAGACTGACAAAGAATGACTTACTCTGAAGAAAGGGGGGGGGGGGCAGAGAGTGCTATACCATTAGATCACCTTTCTTTACTACTACATGGTGCTGCTCTAAACGGCAAAACAAATGAAAACCATGTTGGTCATAGTAGGTACTGTGGATCTTTCACGAAATAAGTCATTTGATAGCGCATAACGTTCTACCCCTTTAGGAACATTTGCTAATCATCCTGAATGACAATCTAAAGTATATTATGTAGATTACTGCACTCTTAAAAAGATTTTCCCAAACAAGGTTTAAGCTAATTCATGAACATTCATTACTCCGCTTTCAGGTCTGGTCCTGCACTGAATGGTCCCAGACATGCTAGTTAGGCTCTGAATATTTGTTTTGTGTCTTGTAGATTATCTCTATTATCCTCACCAGGCTGTTATCTGTTTTTTCTTACAACAGTAGGCTAACAGTTCCCCATCCTCCTACCCCACCCCCCACTACACTCCCCTTAACCTCCCACATTACCCACAATCTACTTCTTTTTAATCTACTGTGGGCTTAGAAGCTAGATAACTTCGTTAGAAACATGTGAAATATATACCAACAGGTTCTACTGATGGGTCTCAATGGGTCTCCTGTGACTAGAACTTCAGGTGTGGACTTAGGACCATTGACAGCTATCCCAGTCCTTTTTGCTTAGTGTCTGGTTCTCAAATGCATTTTATAATAGATCAAGAATAAGAGGCAAATCATCTGGATTAGAAAGAAAACGACTGAAAGCTACAAAGAAAAGAGAGCAAGAGATCATTTGGGAGGACCCTAGGTCTGAGGGTATTCAAGGTATTTCAATCACAATCATTTAATCCTTATACTAATGGAAGAGGCAGTCGTCATTACCTCTGTTTTCAGTCAGAAAACCAAGGCTCATGAGTTAAGCAATTTGCCCAACACTGTAACTGAGAAACCAACCACCAGCCTAAGTTGTTCTGACTCCACAACCTAAGGCGGTTCCACTATATGAGATTGTAGCCCAATCCTTTTCCTCGATGTAGCTCAGTGTCTTTGCACTTTATTTCCAATTCTTTCAATGGAACCTGTCTGATGCAGATTTGCTTGCTTTCTCCAGCCAGTTTCTAGAAGTAAAAGGCAAAGGATAATCAAACTGAGGCAAGTTAAGCTTGGAGCTCTACATGTGTTCATCTGTTCAGCAACAAGTATGTTTCTGTAACACTGGCCATATCCTCAGTTTGTACAGATTGTGCAAAGATGGTGACAAGTTCCCCTCACCGCACCCCCCCCCCTGCCAATACAGACTGTTCCCAGTGACACTATGAGTTAACACTTGACATCTTCCCTGGTGATGTCCTCTACATTTGACAGAAAGCAATGTAAGCATACTTTAGGAACTGGCTCAGTAATACACGACAAGCTCCCTCAATTTGTACAATAACACGATTTTTCTTACTTGAAAGACTGGAGGACAGGCAGGAGATAGGAGGAGTTTCCACTTCTCTACTTCCATTAAGGAACAGGGGCATATTTGTTTCTTGTTAGATCCTTTATTGCTGAGTCCAGGGCCTGACACAGCAAAGACTATTTTATTTGTTGAGTAAATGAATAAATGCTACTTGTTCAATAAATACATGTTATTTTGTTGAATAAAAGTATAACCTCTCCTGAACTGCTTTTGAAATCTTTGGATTTCTCATTTCTGACATACCCTTGCAATACCTGATGGAAAACAGCTTTCATCTTACAAAAATTAAAAGCTTAAAAACCATTCTTCTCCTCCCATCAGAAGACAAAGTATCTAAGACATGCCCCTCTCCATCCTCTAAAAATGACTCTTGTCCCAAGAACATGAATCTGCCCCCCATCTGCCAGACTGCACTAAATACAGCTTTTATATGCACTACAAAAACACCTGTATAAAAAGCTGCTACAAAACAAGGCCTTTGGAGTCCTAAAGCACAAAGCCAACAGAATAAAAACCAAATAAGAATAAAGAGATCTTTCATTTATAAAAGCCCAAACAGAAAATATTTGCTAAATGTAAAAATGTAATGTGACTTTGATCAGCAGATGATGCAGCTCAACTGTTTTTTCACTCACGTATCTCCCCTAAACGTGAAGTAACAAAATCACAGCAATAGAATTCTAATATTTATGATATGAAAATAAGAAGAGGACCTTTTGCCATCCTGAAGTAGAAACCACCTTTGTTCCTATTAAAAAGAGTGACTGCCGAAATACACAAACCATCCCCAAATTCCTACTTAGTTAAAACACACATACCAGGCCTGACAAGCCACAAACAGGAAATTACCCTGCATGGTTTCTTACAAGACTATTATTACATGAACCTTACAGACTGTGTAGAGATTTGATCACTTAGAACTAGGCACAGGTAAGTTCCAACCATGAAAAACCAAACTTTTGCTCAACACCCACAACGTGATATCACTTTAGAAGGTATAACTACAAAGTACAAAACCGAAGCTCTAAGAGTCATTTCTTCCTCAACAAGCCCAGAAATGGATGTTTCAAATCACATTAATAAAAATTTGCCAATAAACTACTTTAAACTCCATTTAACATTTAAGAATACTAAGTGTGCACTTGGACTCAAAATATCCTTATTTACTACCACAACTAATTTTATGGCGAAAATCAAGGAACTTTAAAAATAAATAATAAAATCAGTGTTACTAAATAAAATAAAAATATAAAAATAAAAAAAATAAAAAATCAGTTTTACTTTCTGAGTTTAATATAAATGTTTGCTAAATGACCTTCTGATTGAGAAAAATTCCACAATATCCTGTGTGGGTTTTTTTAAGGCAGATGAAAAAATTCTCAAACTAAAATACATTTATGAACTCTATTTTACATTATTTCACCCATCTGTGTTACATTTGCTTCACTTATCTCCTTATTCACATTAAAACTCCTCAAACTTCATTTAACTATTTAACTTAAACTTCTAAGGAAAACTTTTTAAAGGGGGTCAAAACTAGAATAATAGCAAATGCACTTTCAGAGTAAGAGCAAATTTATTATCTTATTCGGCTCAAGGAAAAACATCCTTACATCACAAGTACAGTACAGTTCAATTCATATAAAATCAGAGGAGAACAAACGAAAAGAAACTGAGATTAGAGAATTATTAAGAATTCTGAAATTAATTCAAATTTCTGGGAGCACTTCTTAAAGATGGAATTACTCCAAGTAGCTTTGCCTGACCATGTATTTATTCATTAACAGTTACTTTACGTGTGCACCTTAGAAGCCTAAAACAAAATTTAGACACTCCCAATGTAACAAACAAGACACGATTCTGATGGGAAATGCTGCGTTCAAACTCGTCTTACCTGGAGATGCTTTTTTAAATAAAGGTTTCATTGACAACAAACCGGTAGTACTTAGCTTTTAAGGGGTCAAGAGGAAGGAACAACAAAACCAACCTAGGTATTGTTTTTCTTTTGTTTAGGATCAAAAGGAAACCATAACCACAGAAAGGTTAAGTAAGTAAAAGGCCAAAGTACCCAACCCCAAGGACGGCATCCCCCAAGAGAGAACAAAACAATTAAAGTTGCAAATGTGTAAACCAAGTCTGGAATACGTGAAATCAATTAGCGTGCTTTCTAAAGGCGGGTGACAAAAACTAACAGGCTCCACTCCCAGAGCAACTTTCACAAGTGAGTGCAGAAGGCTCTCGACAGAGTTTATCAGCCGTGTGCGTGCCTGCGTGAGAGTACACACGAGCAATACAGACCCCGGGACCAGAATGGTTAACAAAGGTTACAGGACAAAAAAAAAAAAGTGGAAGCTAAGTATCGCACGCTCCTAACACGGCTTGCCAACAACTCCCGAAACAAGAGCTCGGTCCCTCCGGCTTTTCGAAAATCAGAACCACAAACTACTCAGCGTGCTAGCCCGGGAGAGGACCGGCCACGGCCGGCCCCCGCTCTGCGCCGGGCAGCTCCGGCAGCTCGGGCGCCGACCCCTTCCCCTCCCGCCCGCACACCCGCCCGGCCCCCGAGCCCCGACCCCGCCACACCCCGGCCCCCGGCCCCCGTGGCCATGTGACGCGGTGAGCCTCGACGACCCGAGCCCGACGCAAACACACCCCTAGCCCCGAGGGCCCGCCGGGCGCCGCCGCTTTACCTGCACCGAGGCTCCGGGTCCCGCCCCGTCAGAGCCGGGGGTCCGGGACCTTTTGTTCCTTCCTCTTCCGAATGGGATGAGGGGCTGGGAGGGGAGAGGGGAAGGGGCGATTGGAGGCGGAACTGAAAACACTCTCGCGGCCGCCCGCCCCGCCCCGCCCCGCCCCCCCAGCCACTGCCCGGCCCGCGGCCCGGCGCGCGCGGGGAGGGGGCACGGGCTCGGCCACCGCCCGCGGGAGGGAGGGGGTGGGGACGCGCGTCCCGCCGCCGCCGCCGCCGCCGCCCCTCCTCCTCCCCTCAGGCGCGCGCCCGCCCGCATCCCACCCACCTCCCCCGGGCCGCCCGGACGGCCGAGCCCTCCCCCGCCGCGCCCGCCGGCCCACCTCCGCTTCCGCCCTGCGCCCTCCGCCGCCGGCCGCAGCGGCGCGGCGCACCCACCTCCGGGCGGCTCGCTCGGCGCTAGCTGGCTGCTGGCTGGGAGCTGCTCCGCCGCCGCCGCGGCCGCGCAGTAGACCCGCCTCCCACCCCGGGCCGCGAGCCCCGCCGATTCGCCGGCGCAGCCCCGGGACTGGCACCCTGCCGCCCGCTGATTGGCGCCCCCGGCCGCCCGTTACGGCGCGAGGCACGCCGGCCGAGCGCAGCGCTCGGCGCGCACGGAAGACGAGGCGAGCGGAGGAGGGAAGGAAGGAGGCCGAGCGCCCGGGAAGGGCCGGGGCGCGAGCGGGGCTCGGAGAGTCGCGGGCCAATACCTCCCCACCTCCTTTCCCTTCGGCCGCCCCGCCCTCCCGGCCGGACCGGCGGCGCGCGCAGCCAATGAGCGCGCGCGGTGCTCGGGGTGTGAGCCGCGAGTCGGGGGCCTCGAATCGGAAGGGAGACGTCGCTCGCTGATTGGTCCCGCCTCCCCCGTAGAGCGTGAGGCGAGGCGCGGCCGGGCGCCGGGGCGGCCGAGGACGAGGCGGGGTGGGACGCCCACGGTTTCGGTTGACTACGTCTCGGGCGCGCTCCCATGAGAGAGTCTGGGAAGGGAAGGGATGGTGGCAGGCGAGGGGAAGGCACGTAACCGGCCGCGCTGCCGACCACCCGTCTCTCATCGGCTCGGCCCGGGGCCCCCTCCCCGGTCTCCTGCCAGCGCCATTGGGTGGGGCCTGTAGGGGCCGCCGCCTAGTCCACGTTCCGTACTCGAGCTGGGAGTGGACATGTGCTCGTCCCTGGGTGGGGGGCAAGGGACGCCTCGACGACACGACGAGCTGGGGCGGAAGAGGGGACCGCAGAAGCCCGAGGACCCGACCCACCTGGGCCCGCCCAGAGGCGAGTGGGTGGGCGGGGCCCTCGTGGTGGTAAACGGGGCGGGGTCCGAGATGTAAATAAACCCAAGCGGGGATCTTTCATGGATATTATTAGGAGCAGGGTAGGGGATACCAGGTATTTTTGAAGAACCAGAATCTTGGTTTTGTTTTCTTTTAAAAATGGTGATAATAATGCATGCTCTGAAAGGTCCTCGCGAAGTCTAAAAGATAAGTGCCTAGCCTGGTCTTCCCCCTCCTCGAAGTTTCGGCGGGGTTCGGTCGAAATTCATAGGCTCCAATCTCGCACGTCTGCGATACGGGCCCTAAACTGCTGGCTGCCCAAAGCCGGTGGATGGGTATACACACTCCGGTAATCTTGAGGCTTTTACCCTACGGACACCCAAGCTTCTGCCAGAAACACTGACCCAGCTAATCCCATCAAGTATTTATTAAGCATGTACTATGTTCGGCAGCCCGCACTGTAGAACTACAGTTGAAAAGAAACCGAGGTCTTAACACAGGTAGTTTGGTGCCAGAGACAAGACCAGAACACAGTTTTCTTGACTCCCTGGCCAGCGCTCGTCGTCATCAATCCTTCATGGTTTCATTTGGGAACTCAAGATAAACGAGGAAGGTGGACCCAGCAGTACAAATCTGTTTACTAACGGGTAATATCGGATGATCATTTCAAATAGCAGGAGTTCTTGAAGCATACTCTTTTTCTTTTCAGAAAAGAACACTTCCCTGAAGAGAGAACCTTCAGATGGACCCAGAGAGATATTTGGCCAATCTCAGTGTCTCACAGCTTTTCCAGACTTAATTTCAGAATCATTTCTATCTCTGTCCTCAAATAACGGAAGCCCTGGGGTTAGGCAGATTGTAGTTTCAGATGCTACTCTGTTCTAAATCTGTGAACTTTGACAGGTGGAACTCACCTACAATGCGAGCTGTTTAAGTAGTTCTACGGTGATTAAATAAAACAATGACCTTAAATAGCATTAGGGCTTTAAAATTAAAAGAAAGTCAATAATTGTTATCATTTCTTCCCTTCTGTTGTTTTCATGGGTTTGTGCTAAGATGAACCTTTTCAGCTGAAATCCTCCCTTCCGAAGTTTACCTCTGCGGTAGTTTCTTCCATTGTCAGGTTGCAGTCAGCTATATATTCACACCTTCCAAAAAATAGCTTCTGAAGGAGACCCAGGAAGCCAATTGGTGGAGCTGTTCCACCTCCTAAGATTTCTGTTTCCACTTCCCAGAGACACCAGGGAGGATAGTCTAGGGCAAAGCCTGTTCAATTTAGAAGTAGGAAGGCTGTTTTTGGTTTTAGTCTTTCTTCCGGCAGACACAAGCCAACAGTTTTAATATGAAATAGCTTATAAAAAGCTACCCTGGATCACACAAATATTTTCTCCTTTGTGACCAGGATGTGCATTTCGTGTCCGCGTGGGTGAGTAGGAGTAGAAACAAAAGCAGGACTCGCTCAAATTCCAGAAGGATCTGCTCCCAATATGGGAGTTAGGTGCTTTGGGGAAGATTAATTCAATGGACAATATGCTTGAGGTCTACGTTAGAGCATCTCTCCAAAGTGTCAGAATTTGGGTTCCTAACCCTTCATTTAGAAAGCTTTCCAGGATCTTGGATTAAGGAAAGGAGAGGAGGGACAACCTGACTACAATGATATCCCCAAAGGGCTTAGAAACGGGAGCATGCCTACTGCCCCCCTCTGCTAGAAATGCATCTAAACCAAAGTGGGTCAAGACAGAAACTAAAGGCAGATGGAGCAGAGATTACTGTGGCAGCAATCTCTGTGGAAATCCACTGGGGTACCTCAAGACAGACCTAGACAGGCCCCTATTGCATAAATTATATTGAGTGGATCTTATTTTTATGTAGATAGACAAGTTTAACCCTTCATTATGCAGGACCTTTCAAAATCAATTTAAAAATCAATTCAGAATCAATTTAAAAGTAGTTAAACTCACAGGAAAAACAGTAATGGTGGTTGCTTTTGGAAAGAGATCCATGGAGTCATGAGTGAAAAGCTTAAAATTTCATCATTCATTACTCTGCAGTTTGAATCTGTAGAAAATATATCCTTGTTGTACTGATTTTTCAAAAGATAAATCCTATTCCATCTCCTCTCTGATAAATCTCTAAAGCCCTCCATGGTTCCCTCCCGCCCAGAGGATCTATCACTCACCTACGATTGAATTTTCTCTCATGGTCGCAATGACTTACATACCATGACTTCGCTTTGATTAATGTCTTGATCTGTTAGTTTAGTCTTGAGCCGTTTTTTAACTTCTCATGTGTATGTTTTGTCTCCCCGTTTAGATTGCAAATTCCTGAAGGACAAGGACAGCATCTTGTTCCCAGCTGTCTTCCCACACTCTAAGATAAAAAAAATTCTTCGTAATTGAAGAAAGGTGAAATACAGCATTTGGATAGCAGAAACACACTCCGTGTGGGTCAGGGGTCTGCGGGTGTTCTACACAGCTTTGCCCCATCCGTTCAGTGATACTCTGTTGAGTATCTTGCCAGCACCCCATCTCTCTATTTGCGCATCCTGATGGACCCACATTGCAGGGAGCATTACTGCATCTTACAGAAAGATTCGGTTATTTGCATCTAAAAGGACACTGATTAAATGAGATAACCTGAGTAAAAATTGTAAAGAATAGGTGTGTGGGGTTATTTTTGTTGCAAATGATGAAGATAATGAAATCCAACACCAGCTACATTTTTATCCCAATATAATGAAAAGTCATGTTTTAAATGAACTTAGGTTGAAGATGTGTATACCTGTATCTATGCATACACACGGTCCGTATTGACGTGCGAGTTTTTACTAAAAATAAAAAGATAACATATTTAACATCTGATGGGACATGCTGGAGACAAGAATAAAGTATGTACAAGAACAAAGAATTAAATTTGACATTTGGTTAGTATCTGTGATGTGCCTATCATAAAAGTATGCTGAAAAATTCTCATTTCATGGCCAATATCTCTCAAGAGAAAAAGACATACATGTAGGATTTTTGAGATTTGAAGAGAGGGAGAGGAATTGAGAAGTTGGCTCTGGTTGAGAAAAACATTTGTAGTGAAAACTAAAGTTATATATATCATCATCCTCCAGGCATCTGATAATTCATATATTTCTTATCTGTACACTTAAAAGCATAAATAATCATTGGATCAATTGATTTTGGGGATAGCTAATCCAATAATTGCTGAAATATTATTGGTAAATTGTAGTACTATTTTAATGCAATGAGCACAACCATAAAGGATTTAAATATTATTTGAGATCCACAAATTTGGGGAAAAACTAGACAAAGGCCCATGTCTAAATGCTGAAAGAACAATGTACAAATTATTTAAAGTTCAGTTATAAAGAGGGATAATTTGGTAGTCATATGTCAACAATGGGGCCTTATGCCTTGATTATAATTGTCTGTGTGTGACAATATTGACTGAGCCAAGCTGCTGTTAGGCAGGATTAGTGTATGGAGGTATAATGCTCTTGGAAAATTTCAAGCATGTTAGAATAATTGCTCTGATGAAGAATGAAGAGCTTATTTAACATAACTGACTAGAGTAGACAATAGATGCATAGTCAGTGTCCTAATGATTGAATTAATGAGCCCCAGTTGTTTGTCAGGAGTCTGACCATTGTGTTAGCTAACAAGTGGCCAGAATATCATGAATGATGGGAAAGAACCAACTACTATTGGGTCCTAAAGACGTCAGTGGTGGATTTCAAGGAGTAAATTATTTAGCTACATAGAAGTTTCATATCAGCTCCTTCTTGCCTTCATACAGTCATGGAGCCTGATCAGTGCTCTTACGCTTAGAAAACCAAGGCCCAAGCTTCTTCAAAATCCTATGGCCACTAAGTGCCAGAAATTAAACATGGCATCTACGTTTCCTGCTGTGATACACCACTCATTCTTCTCCCTGTCCCTGTCTGCACACTCACCCATGCCTTTGCTACCCTCTTCAACCTCCCTATTCCCATTACCTTCTGTGTACACGTCCTGACCAACATTTTCACAGTGAAAATAGGGACAAATTTCCTGTCCACACCTAAACCCCTAGCACTAGAAAATATGTCTGTCTCCAGATTTATGCTTCCCGCCAATTCCTGTTCCTCTTTCTGGAAAAGGCTTTCCCATCCTACCTCTGTTCCCTTGACCACCTACTCTAGGTTAGGACACCATCACCCCAAACAAACACACCTGTCACACTGTCATATCACCTTATTAAATTTCTCCTCAAAACTCTTGTCACTATCTGGAATTATACCCATTTATTTCTATACTGATCTATCATTTGTCACTTCTTCCCTCTAAATGTAAGCTCTACAAGAGGAGGAAACGTGTATTTTGTTCACCATATTATCCCTAACATAAGCATACATGGAGGCACTCAATAAATATTTTTGAACAGATGGGTAATTTTCACTCAAGTTCACTCAAACTCAGCATGTGAAAACGAAAGTCATCATCTCCTTCTGTTTTCCTCTCTGAGAGTGTTTTAGTCCAGTTTCCTGGAAAATAGAGCTTGAGGCAAGGATGCCAATGTTTTATTTAGGAGATATTATCCCAGGGCAGTGACCAGGAAATGGGAACCATGCTTCATGAAGCATTACTATGCTAAACACTGCTTCATGCTAAGCCTTGAAAAGATACCAGCCAGTCTCTTGACAGGTGCAGCCACTTGGCCCATATAGGACACCTCCAAACAGACAATAAGGAAAAGTCATGTCTTGGAGCAACCTGAGAAAGGGAGGAATTTTATCTTCATGTCTCCTGTCTCCTGTTGGTCAAAGCTTGTCCCACGGGGAACTCTCTTTCTCATACTTCCCTACTTCCCACTGTGTTATCCATATTCTTTGACAGCCACTCGGAAAGCCAGGTCCTCTGCCCTGGAGACAGGAGTGACATGAGGAGACCGTGGGGATGTGGCTGGTTGGTCTCAGTCAAACCACCAGGGACTTAACTAAGTCACTCATGGTGGCAACTGAGACAGAGAAGAAGCCCAGAAAATCTGTGAAGACACATAAACAGAACCTGATAAAGAGCAAAGGTAGGACCAGGTCTGTTTTATTCACTGCAGCGTACTCAGCACCTCCCACAATCACTGCTAATCAGATTTTGGTTGAAGGCATGGATGCAGGTATACACGGCATCGCCATCTGTTGATTTATTTAAATGGAAACTTTGGAGTAATTGTGATTGTCCTTCTTGCTTAATTCCCATACATCAAAATGGGGACAAAATTCCTCTTGGCTCTACTTCCTTAATATATATCAGATCAATGCCCCCTCTCCACGCTCACTGCCTTGATTCAGACTTCATCATCTTCCATTGGAATTTTTGCTATAGCTCCTTAACTGGTCTTCCTGTCTCTAGTCTCGCTCCCTTTCAGTTCATTCCCCTGATGCCAAAATCTGCTTTCTTTATAGCATACTCTCCACATGCAAATCTGATCATGTCACTATCTTGATTAAATTGATAGTTTTCCTTTTTTTTTCCCCCCCAGGATAGAATCAAGACACTTTAGCATATCCTAAAAGATTCCTCATGATCTGTGGCAGGCTAGTCCCTTTGGCCTGACATCTCACCAGTCCCTACCTTGCTCCTTACACCTCAACCAGGCTGAATTCTCAGTAGGACACCAAGCTGTCTCTCCCCCTCAGTGCCTATGCTGTGCTCTTGGTTCTGCCTGGAATACGTCTGTGCCCGATGAGCCTCTACTCACACTTCAGCACTGTTTCCCTGAAGCGCCGTTCAGCCATTGCTGCTTCCAGCCACCCCTTGACCCACCCACCCGGGATTCGTGGTAACAGACTTAAGAGAAAGGGCACTGGTGAAAGGATATTGGCCAGCTGACACAGTAGCTGAGAAGGCTGCAGAAGCAGGCCAGGCGATAAGCAAGAATAAGGAAGTCTGGGCAGCAGCTAGGGTCACAGCCAAGATGACAGCACCTCGTGGTGAGGGAGGTGACCCTTGATGCCGCCACCATTCAGTCAGATGTCACTGGCTGCCGTGCCTGTTCTTTGCCATCAGAATGGATTCTGCACCAGCCCTGCTTTGCATTACGAGAGCTCCCTCTATGAAGCCTGGGGCAGATCCATTAGGTTTACTAAGCTTAGCACATGTTTCTTACTCTAGTTACAGGCAGGGCTGGGCAAGCAAGGAGCTGCCTTTTTTTTTTTTTTTTTTTAAACTTCTCTATTGTAATTGGGATCTGCTTCTCTCCCGTAATCATTAGATTATCCCAAACAAAGAAAAGTAGGTCAGATGCCAGGGAGCCCCCAAATGGCATATGTTCATCATGTTCTCAAATTCACTCAACAAATAAATCGTGCATCTGCCTGTGCCAGAACCTGTGCCAGGTTCTTCTGGAGGCACTAGGCATGCAAAAATGAATCAGGTGACCACCTCGCACCCATAAGGACGCCTGTGGTCCAAAAGACAAAAAAAAACAAGCATTGGCAAAGCTCTAGAGAAACTGATGAGAGCAATATAAAATGGGCAGTCACAGCAGAGAACAATCGGGTAGTTCTTCAAAAGATTAAATAGAGTAAGCATATGACGCAGCAATTCCATTCCTAGATATACAACATAGGGGAGAGATGACGACATATGTCACACTTGTACACAAATGTTCACAGCAGCATTATCCATAAGGCCTAGAAGTGAAAACAACTCAAATGTCCATTAAATGATAAATAGACAAACTGTGGCATGTCCATGTGAGGGAATATTATTCAGCCATGAAAAGGAATGAAGTTCTAGGGGACACCTGCCTGGCTCAGTTGGTAGAGCATGGGGTTCTTAATCTCAGGGTTGTGAGTTTGAGCCCCACGTTGGGTGTAGAGATAACTTAAAGAGGTAAAATCTTCAAAAAGAAAATGAAGTTCTCCGACAAGCTACCACAGAGATGACTTGAAAACGTCAGACAAAGCGAAAGGAGCCAGTCACAAAGGGCCACATACTGCATTATCCTATATACGTGAAACACCCAGAATAGGCAAATCTATAAAAAGTAGCTTCGGGGTCCCAGTCACAAAGGGCCAAGTACTGCATTATCCCATTTACGTGAAACACCCAGAATAGGCAAATCTATAAAAAGTAGCTTCCGGGTTAGCTAGGTCCGGGAGTGGAGGGGGGCAGGTTGGGGAATGACTGTTAATGGGTATGGGGTTTCTTTC